TTCATCTCTTTCTATCATTCCCTTATCACTTATCCCCCCTCTTGTCTTTTTCATCCCTTTGCCATTATGAATTATTAATAAATTACATATTAAAAATTTGGCTAATTTTTCCAAATATTTTTCTTTTTTTTTAGATCTGAAAAAAAATTTTGTTTGCAACAAAATCGTTTGATTATATATAGGCAATTTTGGTTCTTGTAACCAAATTTTTGTTGGCTGAAACAAAATCGTAGAATTATCTCAACATTTGGTATATTATTTTGATGGACCAACCAAATTTTGATTGTTGGCCCACTTGGAAAGATTCCCCGGAAAGTGCCCCCTGCTGTGGGTCGATTACGTAACTTTCCCACTTCACATCTTTCACATCCCACTTCCCATATTTCACACCCTACTTCCCACTTCCCACATTTTACATCCCACATATCACTTCCTACATTTTACATCCCACTTCTCACTTCCCACATTTTACATACCACTTCCCACATCCAACATCTCACTTCCCACATTTTACATCCCACTTCTCACTGCTTACATTTTACATACCACTTCCCACATCCAACATCTCATATCGCACTTCCTACATCTCACTTCCCACATTTCACATCCCACATCTCACTTCCCATATTTCACATCCCACATCCCACTTGCCATAAATCACATGCCACTTTCCACATTTTACATCCCACTTCTTACATCTCACTACGCATCTTTCACATACCACAAATGTGGGAAGTGAGATGTGGAATGTGAAATATGGGAAGTGGGATGTGGGATGTGGGATGTGGGATGTGAAATATGGGAAGTGGGATGTGCGGTATGTGAAAGATGGGAAGTAGGATGTGGGAAGTGGGATATGAAAAATGGGAAGTGAGATGTGGGATGTGAAATATGGAAAGTGGGATATGAAATATGGGAAGTGAGAAGTAAAATATGGGATGTGGGATGTGGGAACTGGGGTGTGAAATATGGGAAGTGGGATGTGGGAAGTGGGAAGTAGGGTGTGAAATATGGGAAGTGGGATGTGAAAGATGTGAAGTGGGAAAGTTACGTAATCGACCCCCTGGAGGTTCTATCAGAATTCCGCCGGAACTTCCAACATAATTCCGTTGGAGTTCTAAAGAATTTCCGATGGGATTCCGACGGAGTTCCGATTAATTTTTTCAAAATTTTTAGAGTTCTAATTCGATCGGAATTCCGTCGGAAATTCTTTGAAACTCCGATGGAATTCCGACGGAATTACATTGGAAGTTTCGGCGGAATTCTGATAGAACCTCCAGGGGTCACTTTCCGGGGAATCTTTCCAAGTGGGGAGAAAAAAAATTTTTTCTCAGTGATAAAATTCTAATCTTGAAAATTGTTTTCATTTCGCGTATATATACAATTTGCCGTATCCTCGTGCCCATATAATGATTATTACGCGCCAATTACCATTAAGTGAGGTACAAAGTAGGTGTGATCACTTTTCCGGTGGCACGAGGGCAATTCTTGTGTCCTTTCTTTCTTTTTCTATGAGAAACAGGAAGACTATGATAGTCCTGTACGTCACCGGGCATACAATGTACAAGTAACGTGTATATATACTTATATATATACAGATCTTGTGTATTTGTTGGTATGGTTCCCTCTTCGCTTGGGTAACGATGCACGGCATAAAATGCAGAGCAGAAACACGGAAAGAGCGTCGTCGCCTTTCTCTATCTTGGATATATTCCAACAGAATAATAAAAGCGAGCCCTCTTCCATATATATATATATTTTCAACCGAACTTTTTTTTCTCTCTGACAAATTTTCATACGATTTTATATATTATTTTTCATGTGACATTATTTCACTGAAATATTTTTTTTCCAGAATAAATTCCAATTTTTTTTTGTATAAATAAATATTCTTTAATTCATAATATATAAAATTTGTTCCTTAAGCTCATATAAGGGCAAAAAAATCAAAAATTAGGAGATATAGTTTTTTTTTCCCACCTTTTTGAAATTACATGAACATGGTTTTCGTTCAATTATAATTCTTTCTTTTTCTCGACACTTTTTCTTCTTTTTTTCTCTCTCATAGGGTAGATTACACCATCAGAAGGTGTTAAAAATGCGTTTCACGTTTTAGGGTTGCCATCAGGGAGTCTTGGCAATTTACGGATGAGAATCGAGCTCGCACATATACACTCTAGAGAGAAAAGCACACTTATTGTTATATTTCCTTTTCCTATCGCGCTCTCACCACGACTATTGCAATTAAGTTCTTGCTGGGAAAATACGAAATAATCAACAATTTCATATTTGTGGTACTGCTTCAATGCTTTTCACAAATATTTTGATAACCGATGATTTTCAAATATGTACATACTATAAAGAAAATGATAGAAAATATATACTCTTTCCAAGTAATTAAAAGTATATATATATATATATATTTGTTTAATAAAAAATCCGTTAAGGAATAAATAGAAATAAATATTAAATAAATATTGTTTGAGATATTAAATTATTAAAAAAAAAGATATAAAAAAAACATGTGAAATATTTTACAATATTGACTAGTATTATTCTTATTTTCACGTATATGTAAAAAAATTTACTAATATACGTCCCAGGTAGAAAAATTAACATTACTAACGTTACTAATGTTACTAACGTTAGTACCTATAAAAAAATTAAGAAAATGTTTCTAAATTGTATTTACAGAAACTTGTCGAAAATCGACCACCAGGAAGTATTTAATGTTCTTACCCGCACTTTTTATAATTTTCATTTCTATTATCACTTCCACTTTTTTATTTTCATTACCGTTTCCACTTTCACTTTTTCTAATTCTCATTCGCACTTCCATTCCCACTTCCACTCTTTCTACTTCTCATTTCCACTTTCACTTTTTTATTTTCATTACCACTTCCACTTTTTCTAATTTTTATTCCCACTTTCCTTTTTCTAATTTTCATTCCCATACTTCTACTCCCATTTTTTCCAATTCTAATTTTCATTAGTTGTTGCCATTTCGACTAAAACTCTTTCTAATTTCCATTTACACAACTATTTTAACTTTTTTTAATTGCCATGGATGGAAATTAGAAAAAGTGAAAGTGATAATGAAAATTTTAAAAATTAGGAATGGAAGTGGGAGTGAAAATATAAAAAAGTTGTAATGAAAATAAAAAAGATGAAATGGGAATGAAAATTGGAACAAATGGAAGTTAAAGTGTGAATGAGAATTAGAAAAAGTGGTACACACTAAAAAAGAAATCTTGATTTCAGCCTATTTTTGAGGCTGAATTTAAGGTGTAAACGGAGTCAGACCAATTAAAAAAGGACAGACTTATGCAAAATATATGGGCTTAATTTAAGGTGTAAACGGTTTAAGACTTTGTTTTTACTTTGTAGTGGCAATGAATATAAAAAAGTGGAAGTGGAAATAGGAATGAAAATTAGAAAAAGTGGAAGTGAAGTGGGAATGAGAATTAGAAAAAGTAGAAGTGCGAATGAAAGTGCGAATGAGAATTAGAAAAAGTATAAGTGAAAATGGGAATGGAAATTATAAAAAGTTTAAGTGGAAGTGAAAGTGGTAATGGGAAATTAGTGGCAAAGTTTCTGTGAAAATATATTTTAGAAATTCTTAATTTTTTTATAGGTACTAACGTTAGTAACATTAGTAACGTTAGTAATAATATTAATTTTTATTATTTGATTAGAAACTGCACTGAAAAAAAAAAAATTTATTTGATTCAAATAATCGGTTACTTGACTATTATCAAATAATTTTTATTTGAATTTAATAAATTGTATTTGAAGCAATAATTTTTGTTTTTAAAACAAATATAATTTAATTCATTCAAATAAAAATTATTTACCTAATATAAATAAATATTTATTTGATAATAGTCAAGTATAACCGAATATTTTAATCAAATAATTTTTTTTCAGTGTCGTAAGTTTCACATGACTATAAATAGTACAAAAACAGAATTTTCTATATTTTGAAATAAATTATATTAATTTTTCAAATAAAAATTCTCTCAGTGTACAAGGAAAAACAATTTTGCATAATAAATAATTAGCTTATTATAAGTATTAATTTAAGAACACAGAATATCACAGTTTTTTCTTATCAGAAAAAATTACATCCTTTATAACTAAAAAAAAAAAATTGAATAAATTTGCCTAAAATTGAAGGAAAAAAAGAGCTATAATTAGAACATTTCGTTTTTCTTCTCGTGTCAATCACAATCTATTTTTCATCTGATTTGGATTGTAACCGCGGGTATATATTTATAATACAAAACCCTAGTATTAATATGTATAGCGTGCGTACATATATCATATTTAAAAATTGCTGCCTGCGTGTATTATCCTCGCAAATCTGTCTCTAATTCTCATAAAACTGTCACAATAGTTTATAACGTTATTTAGTCACGTGATATATATATATATAACTCAAGCTTTAAATTTTATAAAAGCTTTTTCTTTTTTTTAATTTATTTATATAGTGAATAAAATTATTGCTATTTATTTCTGGTTTTGCTTCGGGCACTAATTGAAGACGGATTATTTTTTCTCACATAGTTTCGTTCACGATTATGCACATCACATGTACCAGACACGTATAAACATGAACCAGGAAGATAAAAGACATTTTTTTTTCCGCATAGGAAACGGAAACACGATTCCTTAAGAATGCACTGAGTAATGAATCTCGCATTGTTTTTATACTGCGCGAGAAAAAGTAATTCTAGGGTACTAAGAAAATGTTTGATGAAAGTTTCTCAAGACTGAGATTATTTAGAGTGGAATTAATTGCAAGGAGACACAGAAACATAATTATGCTGATTAATATGGCACTTTGAAAATAACTTCTCAAACTTTGACATCGAAATTATTATTACAAAATTATGTTTCAAAACTTGTTTTTTCATGTTTTGAAAAATTTTACAATTTTAAAAAAGAAAATATGAAATATTGCTAATTTTTTCAAAAATAGAAAATAAAAATTTACTTACTTAAGAAAAAGAGGTGGTTCGTGAATGAGAAGATGAAAGTCGTTTTCTGAACAGACTTCCCGATCTCGATGATGGACCGCACATTTGAAACTTCGAGACCGTTTTCCACTCATCTGAAAACACAAAACAAAAAATTTAAATAATAATAATGAAAAAAATGTTTTTCAATTTAAATAATAATCGCAAAATTTATTTTGTTGAAATCTTTTGACGATTGGTAAATAGCATTTCCACATATAATAAAATATGATTATGGTATATATACAAGAGCTTAACAATATTAAATATCGAATGACTCTTCTCTTTTCTATCTTTACACTTTAATTCAAGTGCGATATTTTATTTCTTTCCCAGATACATAAAAGCACTCCGTGGGTGACGTGTATTTCTAACCAATAACGATCTCTATCTATTCCATGGTTTATTGGCAATGAAATTATAGCAGGGAATAAGAGAGAGAGAGAGAGAGAGAGAGAGGATGAGGATAAGGAGGACCGGCGAATTCGCGTAAGTAAATCTTGGACCTGGATTTACGAGGCTTCGCGAGACCAGCCCGATCGATAAGGTCGTTCTATTAATCTCGATCGTTTATTCCGAGTTTATCGCCATCCGCAAAAGGTATATCCTCTCTCACTCTGTATTAAGATCCTGAGCGAAGGACTTCTAAGTGAGCAAGAGTGAGATAGAGATAGTCGCATGTATATACAATTCCACACCTACGTGAAGAAGAGAGAGAGAGAGAGAGAGAAAGAGGCTCTGTCTTTAGGAGCTGGACATTTTCCTCTTGATATAGATGAAGGACCATGGATCCAGGGCTTTATTAGGCAGAGGAATCTCAACAAAATTTTACTTCGTTAAGGACCTTTTTTACATTTACAACACCTTTTTTTTATAAAATTCTGATAATCACTCCTAATTCACTCCCATTTCACTCCTAATTCACTCCTAATATTAATATTTATTCCTAAGAGCGATACACCAAACATGAATTAAATAAAAATTTCACCGCCGTGGGGAATCGAACCCCAAACGCATAACGTAACCAGCGCTTAACGACTGCGACTATCACGTACTTGAGAATTTTTATGAACAATAACGTAATTTTAATCTGAATTTTTTGATTTTATATAATTAAATTTTGCTTTACATGCATTCTGATAATAAAAATAATGAATTTTCCGTATAACTAAAGAACGGTGGATAAAGTTCTTATTCTTTTCGAAAAGGAATTTTCATTTTCAGTTCTGCTTCTTATTCGACAAACTTGGAGAAGATGGTTATACTTCTAGAACTGTGTTCCGTTCTACATTTTTTTCTACTTTCAGTAACATTCGACTATAGTTGAGTTAATCCGCCCTTTTCCTTCCTTCCTTCCTTCCGCTTTTCATCTTTCTCAAGAATTCTTTCTCAAGAATAGTGAATTTCGTTAAACTTATTTTAAACGTTTTCTAAGTCAGAGAGGAAGTAAAACTTGTTATATTTTTTCGAATCAGATGCAAGGAAATTGGATCAATTTATAAATTTTTTTTTAGTAATAATTAAATATTTACCTCTTAGTTTTTTTTTTCATTAAATAAAAATAGCATTTTATTTATTTTTTTTTAGATCAAAACTGAAACAAAATCTGAAATGTCAGAAGGGAAAATTATATAAGAGAGGGGGAAAAATTGACTTGGCAAACCTTTTTGATTTGTCTGTGACGATTTACAAAACAAAAAACTATTTCTTTCTGAAAACAAAAAAGTAGAAAAAATAAAAAAAAAAAGAGAATACTATGATCAAAGGCACAAAGCTTTGATTGCTTCCCTTCGAAATACACTCGGAAAATAATGCATACCTCGAGAGAGAGTGAGAGAGAGAGAGAGAAAGGAAAGGTACAAAGAATTCTTCCTTCGTCGAACATAGAAACAATTTCAATCCCTCTCTGCTTTTCTCAAAGACATAGTTATACTGGTATGTGAACTAGTATAAGGCGGGGTATATATATATATATACCCTTGGAAAGGATTGTGCAGATTATCCGGTCCAGCTTCAGAAAATCCAACGTTCACATTTTCGTCGTTCGACATAGTTTGCATACAATGGACTATATGAATGGCAGCTGATCTCTTTTTTTTCCAAGCTTTATATATATATATATACGTCTTTTTCAGCGAAATTCTAATATACCACCCTTTTAAGCTGATTTGTTCCTCATCCTAGTTTGATGCTAATATTACAAAGCTGAAGATATTAATATGAGACAACCATTAAACAACTTCTTTTTTTTTAAACACTCATCTTTCAGCATAGAAAAAAAATTTCTGACAAATTAATACAGATTTAGATTATAAATTTTGTTTTCTTTTGCTCCTTCAGTAACGATTCTTTATAATGAAACATTATTCCAGCGATGTTAAGATTCCATAATTTTGAAATGAAAATTCCATTGGAAAATTGTTTAGATATACATCGTGTATATATATATATATATATATATATACATACGCGGCTTGCTTGAATTATAATTTCGATAGATGCACGCATTGCATCAGCGATAATCTAATAATCGAATGATTCAAGCCAGTGGAGATTTGAGTTTGGTAGCTCAGTAGATCCGTAAAAGAATTTCAATTACAGCTGACGTTGTTGCAGAGCAGGTCGCACATCGAGGTAATCCGTGCCATTAGTCGACGAGACTAAAGCGTGCGGGGGCAGAGTGGGGGGGGGTAGAGAATTGTGGAGGTAATTCGAAAGCTCGTTTACTCACGCGAGTAACGCGCGCGCGACGGTTCTGCACTCAACTATACTCGAACACACAGTAACCAACCGAATCGAAGCAAACCTGTGATAATGCGCTAGGCCCGGAAAATTCACTGTATATACCGAGAGGGAGAGAGAGAGAGAGAGAGAGAGAGAGAGAGAGAGAGAGACAGAGTTCAGCGAACGACCAGGGACGTGATATGATCGCGCGCGGCCTAATCGAATTAAACTCCCGTCTATCCACAGGAATGTTTATGACTAGGGGAAAAGGCGGGGTAGACTTGGATTTGCTGTGTTTTCATTGTTAATCAGACTAAAACCCAAAGGAAAACAGAGTTTCAATTAATTTACAATTTTCCAAATGAACATTTTCATTGATAATTATTTTTTCTCTATATACAATCACTGGATTGAAAACTATTTTACTCACTATAGGGTGAGAAATAATCACTTTACTCACTGGCAAAGATCCCAACAATCGTCGCCAAACGCAACTACGCTTGCGCTACCACAACTCTCTCATTGGTTGAAAAAGGCGCTCTTATTTAAAATGCCTTATTCTTAAAAAAATTTTCAAAAAACAATAAAACAAATTGTTAATATTAAAATTGTTTTTATTTTTAATTCTGTTTTATCTGACTCCGTTTACATCTGAAAGTAATTAAATATTAGCCTGTCCTTTGTCTCTTGTAATTTCAGTCCAAAGTGGCTTAAAATTAAGATTTATTTTTAACAGTGCAAAAAAGACAAAATTATTATTATATTTTATTGTTATATTTAATTATTTTATTTTATTATTTATTTATTCCATGTACACCTTTTATAAAGTCTGTATTTTACTATTATATTATATATAATTATATTGTTTCAATATATTAAATTTCTAATATAGAGAATAAAATAATTACCGACAATTATAAAGGAAAATCCTTTTAATTGTATATACATATACGGGAAACTAAAGCTTTTCTCAAAAGTTTCTCCGCCTGACTAAACATTGACTTTTACTACTGATTAAACATTTACCGTGGAATTCAATGCATTTCAACTTAAGATTAACTTTCATTAGTGCGCACTAAAACCCATTGTTGTCTGCTTTTAATATAACTTTGCCCAAGGTGAAGGGAGTAAAATGGTCTTTTTTAACTCTAGGGAAAAAAAGTTCTTCAACTTCGTTTGTTTTTTCGAATAAAAATCAAATAATTAGTAATTAACTAATAAGTTTTATACTACTAAATAGTATACTACAAAAACAGAGTTTTTTTTTTTTAAATATATATTACATTAATTTTTGAAATAAAAAGTACAAATAATATTATAACAATTATAATTTTGATAATTAAATTACAGTATAATCAAGATTATAATTATATTATAATGTTACCAATATATTTATTCCTGTAATACTAAAAAACTTAATTTCATTATTAGAAATTTCCGGTCTAATCGAGGTTCAGGTAATTGAAATAAAGAAGGTGTTTGCAAATTTATTTTGTGCAGCTTTTTTACAATATAAGTAGAAGAAGAAGAAGGAAAGGAAAGAAGGAAGCAGAGCATGAGACGTATAAGAAAAAAGGCTTTTCGCAAGACGATGGTCGAGCTCTAATGGAACGATAAAGGAGATTAGGGTGCCGAGAGGATCGTTAAAATGAAACGAGCGAGCACCGGACCGTGGTGCTTTTCTCTCTCAGTACTTTTCGTCTAAGAAGCTGGCATAAATGCATAAGTGTTAGTAGCCACAGAAAAGGGGGTTTTCAAACTACCTCGTATATAGTTAAAGATCGTCAGACATTCACGTAGATGTTAAATTTTAATATTATAAAATATATATATATATATATATATATATATACGTCGATGAATAGAGAAAAGACTCGAAGCAAAAGATGTTGGGATGAGAAATGAATGACGTGATAAATTAACAAGTTTGACATTATCGATTTTCGCCTTTCATTCTCAGGTTATTCGCACTTCTATAATATACATATATATGTATTCAAGAAACTGATATGTCGGAGATATCGTTAGAAACGTGAATCTGCATTGTGATTAATATCACATAGATGTACTTCCGGAAATTGCTTTTTCTTAAGATTTTATTCTTTATAAAATGATTTATTACTTCTTGTCATTAAAGGAAAATTTTTCAATTCTCGATAATTTATTTTAGTTTTACATTATTACGCATTTCAATAGGAATTTTTTTTTACTTTTCGAAAAAAGTATATACCATTTAAAATTATAATTATAGACTTTTTTAAAAAATAAATTTCAGATTTATTTTCTCATTAAAAGATAAAGAAAAAAATTTTATTGAATTTAAATTTAAATTGTAATTGTATTTTAAACTGCCTAAAGTTTTAAAGTCGAT